TATATATATATATATATATATATATATGTCTTCACATTAATATGATATTGTTTATTTTGAGCCTAAGATTTGTGACCTTTTTTTTTGTTATCTACTAAAAGTCCTCATACCAATTGAGAGTATGTGTACATAAACTCATGTTCATCCTCTTGTTCTAACAATGTGGGACATTGACTGTATCTTAACAACCATCCCTCAAACGAAGGACCAACCTCCCCTTAAAGTGGAAGCTAAGATTTTAGACCATGAGTAATCCAATGGTGACCCATATAGCTTCGTCATGCTCTAAGTAATTACATCGACACATTTGCTAACTTTCCATGTTAGGAGTAGGAAGATTATCCATGCATGAATCCACTGTCAAAAAAGAATTACTAAGCAAGATACTCTTCCAAACTATCCATGTTAAAAATAGGAAGACTCTCCATACATGGATCTATTATCAAGAAGAATTACTTTCGATACAAGGGATCATATTCCAAATTCACCTGTTAATTCCATTATACTCATCTAGTCAATCATTTAGTCGAAATCACTAGCTTTGATGCCAATTTGTTAGGTTTCACGAAATTCAGACACACACACATACATGTACATGAGCATGATATTGCCCAGTATGGGTCTAAGCCCTTGTAATTTTATTTTTAGTCATCTCACGAAAGACATCATACCAATGGAGACATTGTATGTATATAAATCTATGTTCATTCTTTTATTCCAACATGAGGTGATTATGTACATAAAAACATTAAAAAAGGGATAGGAGGATGATGATAGGGAGGTGAGTTGCAAGAAGGGGGGCGTGGGTGATGGTAATGGGTGAAAGAGAAGATTTTTCATTTCAATTTTTTCAATTCAATATTATCCATTCAATTAGAAATATGTTGGGAAAAAAGTCATTCTCTTTTTCGCATAATAATGATGAAAATACACACAAAAATGTCATAAAATTAAAGAAAGATCACATAATTTATTTGATGTGATTTGGTCCATTCTGCTTACGTCCCGAATTCATTATTTAAAAATATATTAAAAACATGCTCTTAAAAAATATTGCCTTCAAGTTTTGTAGATGAAACTTGAAAACCCTCCTTAGAAGTTTTGTGGGTGAAACTTGGAAACCCTTCCTTCAGAAGCTTTCTAATGAAACTTGACAAAACTTCCTTCATAAGGCCCTTTCTCTCATTTAATACAGTAACCCCCTTTAAAATGTTGAGTGATTTTTCTCATTTCAAGAGTCCCTATTTATGACCTAACATAGAATTTAAATTCATGAGAATTACTTTAATTTCGATTTAAATCATTTTTAAATGATTTATTTGGATAAATCATTCAAATTTAATAAATTTTAAATTCTTAATTTAGATATGGTAATTTGATTTTCACCATAGTTCAAATTGATTTCATATATATATATATATATA